TTTAAACTATCCCATCTGTCTTCCAGATTCTGTGTGACCTGTGGCATGAATTCACAAGTTGCCAGCCTAGATTTAGTAGCATAGATTCTGGTTATTAGCCCAGAAAAGCCGACTAGCCCAGTGGCTACAACCTTCACCTTAATAGCGTAATACTCTTAACAAAATGATGAGCCACCTATTTTGTGCCTGGTCCTATGTCTTTTTGTGCTGTAAGCCTACCCTTGTTTAAAATTCTTTAGCAGTGAAACGTTAATCATTGTTGCAAATCAAGTATATATAAATACCGTTTTCCACTTTCGCTCCATCTGATCAAAGCTGGTTTTGTGATGTTACCTGGAGAAATACAGATGGACAGAGAAGCAGGTGCAGCCTGATGACAGCTATATTCTTCATCCTCTGTCCTGCTAGGGAAGAAACCTCCAATATGAACCCTAATTGGCTTGTAGAGGTTGTTAAGGTCTGGTCCAATGCTGGGAGATTTGCCCTGCCCTTAGGTCTTCCCTAGTCAAGGTGTTTCTAGGGTCAAAAGTGATGCTTGGGTCTATTTTAGTTCAGTGACTCCTGCCCATCCTGGAAAAAGCTGAGAAGCTGAGAGGAAAAACTAAAGGCTTTCTTAATTCACTTAATCTAGAGATAATTTGTTTGCACCAAACTTTAGCAAGGCATAAATCTGTACATATAAGATTCAGCCAGATCTGGTCAAGGCTCTAGAGCTGTGCTGTCCAATAGGGTAGCTACTTCCTGCATGTAGCTTTTTAAATTTAAGTTATATAATGTTTAATATCCAGTTCTTTGGTCACACCAGCCGCATTTCAAGTGCATGTGGCTAATAGCTACTGTATTGGACAGTGCAGATTATAGAACATTTCCATTGTCACAGTACATTCTATTGGATAGCACTGTTGTAGAAGAGGGATTGCAAATAGATTCATCCCCCTTGTCTCTTCTGATTGATTGGTGATGGCTGCCTGGAGGACTGTGTAAAGAAGATTCTGAGGCCATGTCTAAGTGAGCCCCAAGTTGTTTGATTATTTTTTGGCAATGTATGTTCTAGGAAGGCAAAGCTGGGGAGTGGGGAGTGGTTATAGCATAGGTGCTTAGTGTCTTCTAGACAAAACCACAGAAGTAAGAATAGAATATTTAGAGGGGTAGGTTGGTACTATTTAATAGAGACAGGTTATTTTTTTTAGCAGGAGTCCTTTGAAAAGACAGGTGAGAAGCTTCACAAGTTTTCTTATTCATTATGTAATCTCTCATTTAAGTAGTGGTCACTTTTGCTATTTGTTTTTTTTTTTTTTTTTGAGGAAGATCAGCCCTGAGCTAACATCCATGCCAATCCTCCTCTTTTTGCTGAGGAAGACTGGCCCTGGGCTAACATCTGTGCCCATCTTCCTCCACTTTATATGGGACGCCGCCACAGCATGGCCTGACAAGTGGTGCATTGGTGCGCGCCCGGGATCTGAACCCGGGCTGCCAGCAGCGGAGCGCGCACGCTTAACTGCTACGCCACAGGGCTGGCCCATTTTTGCTATTTCTCAAAATAAGTTGGCAATGATGTTTTGCTTTTGTGTAGAAGGAAATCAGAATAGCTGCCAGTTCTTAGTTTATCCATGAAATAAGGAAAGGATGTTATGTGAAGAAACAAAACCCACCAAGATTCCAAAATTAGTTTCATGTTCATGCCACCTTTTACTATACCTGCTAAAAAGAAACAAAACTGATTGAGGTTGGTTTTTCTTTGCTTCTTTAATATCTTCTCCTGAAGGATAACAAGAGAGAAACAAAATTTAAGGAAAAGTTGGTATAGTTTGGCATAAATCAATCCCTGTATAATCACTGTTTTCAGAATTTGAGGTCTGTATCTGATTATATTTTCAAAAATCTCTAATAATTAAGGGTAAGTAGGAATGTTTCCCTACTAGTTTCAAAACTAGAAAATGGATTTTAAAAAAAAAAGAGTCCCAGTTCTGCAACTATTATGTGACCTTGAGCAGATGACTTACCATAACCTCTCTGAGCCTTAGTTTCTCCATCTCTGAAATGGAGTAAATAGTATCTACCTCTGTGAGTAATGGGTAAGGAGTAAGTGAGGTATAAAACCTCACTTATAGGTGCCTGACACTACTACTGTAAAGACTCAAATGTTAAAACATATTGTTTGGAAAAAGTATATAGCACATGCGCTTGGAGAAGAACATTCCCTGTTCTAATCTTGGCCCTGCCACATAGTAGGTATGACTTATGTCTAGTTGTTTACCCTCTCTAGACTTTAGTTTCCTCTTGTAAAATGAGGGTAACAATAGAACCTACTGAAAAGACCTGCTCAGGGTTAAATGAGATACTGCACATCAAGATAATGCAAGGACGTCTGATAGATGGCACAGAGTGAGCATTCAGTAACTGTTAGCTATTATGATGAAAATGATGATGTTTAAATTAGAGGCAGCCTTGCCAAAAGAGAGAAGATTTATCAAATCTGATATCTTTTCTCTTTCCCATTCACTAATCTTCAAACTATACAGTTTATGCTAAACATGGTAAAGTGTGTACATTTTGTTTATTTTATTGCTGCTCCACTATAAATTATTAATAAGCCTCTTTCATTGGTTTTTTGGCACAGCTGACCTGAGGCGGTAATTGGAGAAGCTGTTAGTTATCATAAAGACCTTCTCACTTTGTAGTATTTTTACAAGCTGCAAGCTCATGTCTGATTTGAAAGGCCTGATGTTTAAGGCCAGGGATCAGAGCAGGAAGGAGGAGGGCTCAGGGTGGGGGTGGGGAATGACTTCAGTCCTGCAGGGTGTCTGTTTGATTGTCTGAGAACCTGTTGCCTCTAGGGTACAGGAAGGACTAGGCGCTTCAAAGGCACTAGGGGCCAGAGAATATTTCCATACTCTACCAACGATATCTTCTCTGTCCTTTAGTCAGCGTGTATCTTTCTTCTCTCCCTGGTAGCAGCAGAAGGGGGTCAGAAATGATAAGCCAAGGTTGACTCCTGAGGCTTCTTCTAAAGACAGGTCCATACTGGAGGGCACAGCTTGAGTGTCCCATAGCCCAGCCTCCGCAAACACCAGAAATCACTCCTGACCTATGGAAAATGGCTTTCTTCCCAAAAAAAATATTTGGATCCTTTGGTGTGAAGACACAGCCCTGGGCTGTTTTCACTTGTTGAATTCACTATATACTGTTGCTAGAAATTACTTTTTTTTCTTTCAGAAATCTCAGATTTTTTAAAAATCCAGAATTCTTCTATTTGTAAATGTCAAAATTATTAGGTCCTTAGGATGTTTTATAGGAGAACACTTTTCTGGGAATTTACATCTCCTTACCCTGCTCTCCTGTAGTGAGTGTCTCACACTCAGCTCCCTGCGTTCAGCTTTGCATCCTCCCTCTTTTCAGCATCCTCTGTACATGTTCTTTTGAAATGCCTCTCAAACCATCCTTTCTTTTCTGATTCTACTCTCACCACCCAGGTTTTGAGTTTATCACTTCACATCTGTATTTCTCATAATTTAAGATTTGTCTTTTGGATTATGAAAGTAATACATGGGCAGTATAGGAAATTTGGAAAACATAGGTCAGTGTAAGGAAGAAAATAAGTCACCATTCAGAAATAGATGCTATTTACGTTTTGGATTTTTATTTCTAGTCTTTTAGGAGTGTGTATCTGTGTGTGTGTGTGTGTGTGTGTGTGTGTGTGTGTGTGCGTTTAAGGAAATTTGGATCTGCTTTCTATACAGTTTCATATTGTGACTTTTTTTTAACTTGAGATATCAGCACATTCCTATATCATTAAGTATTTTTCAAAAATTTCTAATGGATACATAATATTCCCTTATCTGGATAGAGCAAAATTTATTTAACAATACTGTTAGCCATTAGATCTTCTCCTTTTCAATATTAAAATCAATGCCTGTTTTCAAAATCTGTTACAGGATAGTGTAGTGAGTAAGAACACAGGCTTCAAATTTCCAAAGACCGTGGTTCAGATCCCAGTTCTGCCGTTTATTCCTAGGCCTCAGTTTCCTTCTTTGTAAAATGGGGATTATAATAGTACTTACAAATAGAATTATGACAGTTTAAATGAGATGCATATAATGTACTCATTTACAAAGAGCTTGGCACATTGTAAGTTCTACTAAATAGTAACTGTTGCTATAATAGTCACCGTCATTAGTCATCCATCTGCAGTTGTTTTTTAGTGTAGTCCTAGAAGTTAGATTATAGCACCAAAGTGTACGACTATTTTAATACCTTTAATAATATATTTCCAAATTTATTTCTAGAAAGATTCTACCAATTTATAGTCACATAAAAAGTATGAGTACCTCTCTAATATCACTCCTTGCTTTTATTAGGTATTATGTTTTTTATTATGGTATACCAATGTAACATACAAAAGTAGTATCTTATAATTTGCATTTCTTTAGTTGCCAGTGCAAATGATTAGTTTTAAATGTTTAATTGGCTAATTATATTCTTTCTTTGCAAATTGTGTATTGAAGTCAATGCCCATTTTTCTATTGACTGCATCTTTTTTCTTTCTAAATCAGTAAGTTTTTTGTATATTATAATAATTATTATTTATAACTAAAATTTATTGGGCTTTTAGAACTTTCAGATGAAGGAACAAGGGCCAGAAAGGCTAAGTAGTTTGCCTAGTTTCTTTTAGGACCCTGCCTGGCACAGAGTAAATGCTCAGTAAATACTTGCTGTTTTTGTTATTCATCTTTGTATTTCATAGCGCCCAGCACAGTACAGCACTTTGCACATAGTAGGAGCAAAATAAATACTTGTTAACTTACATTGACACCAGCATCTCACTTCCACTCTTCGATGTGCACAGAAGCCAGCCTTTAATGTCTGCCTTTGTCACAGCCACTGTTTCATCTCAGATGAGTCAGCATCTTCTGGACTTTATTTGATTTTTCCCCATATGTTTTTAATGGTACTTTTCTAAAACTCCATAAAATCAGGTATTTCCCTCACTTCATTTCTAGGTAACAAACCTGAATTTGACAAGTGGCGTCATAAACAGAAGCAGTGCTTCAACTCCCCCCACCCTTCGGCCTGTGATCAGTCCTAGTGGCCCGACATGGTCAATACAGTCAGACTCCCATGCTCCTGAGAGCCACTCCAGCCCTCCTGGAAGCAGGTATGTGAAGGGCCATGGAGCTAGCATTTGGGTCACACAGGGATGGCCTGGGTCCTAAGCAAGCTATCCCACCTTGAGCTCCCTGCCAGACACCAGTAAGACGTGGCTTTCCTCATGTGTCCCAATCCTCTGGCGCTTGAATATAGGGCCTCATTTTACTTGTAAGACAGTTTATGGACAAATCAAATGAAAAGGAAATTTCTGATACAGTTCAGTAAATTCACTTCTGAGTGAAAGAGCAAGAACTTATACCATACTTAATCCTTGCCTCTCTTCAACATTTTCATGTATTAATTTTTGACATTTTCTCCTCATCTCCTAATTCTTTTTTATACCTTGTACTACATTATGTTTCAGTAACTTTAGACTCTTTTCTTTTGAAGGATATATTTGTTTTTTTATGTTTTCCATCTACGTTATGTAATTAAACTCACACAGCCTCCCTGGACAACATTCACTTGGGAAGTGGGAAGGAAATTTCCTTTAAGTAGTTGAGCAAAGTGGCAGAGGGTAAAAACCAAATAGATTCTGGATATAAAGTAAGCAATTTCTCAATTAAAAAAAAAAAAACCACCGTATTGAATTCTAGTCTCAATCCATATTTTAAGTTTCCCTGTATAAAAAATGTAAGAACTGGATTCCCAGTACATCTTGTTTTAGTGGCTATTAAATATGGGTTTACTTGCATCTGTCCCTGAGTTAAGTGAGCTAGAGGGGAACGTGACTGTTAGGACGAAGTATTCTGACCGGCTGAGATATTGTCCCTTCCCAAGAAAGAAGCTCTGCCACATGTGTCCCACCGCGTCCCCACCCCTTACCAGCACTTCCAGCCTCTGCCAGCTAGCTGTCTCTTCATATGCTGTCTTGCTGTGAGGTTGGGAAGGGTGACCGAAGACTTGGGCATGGAGGAAATACCTAATTGTTGTCAAAGAATCTGTTGGCGTTAGAATTATTACTTAGGGAACTGACTTGGGAAGCAGACTCTGCCCAGGAAGCAACATAAACATAAGCACATTACCTCATGCTCGGGTACTGTGTCCCCATACCAGTACTCACTGTGGTCAAGGGTGAAAAGAGTCAGTTGAGAATTATAAAGAATTGAAGACCGGGAGGCAGGACTTTTTAAGACAGAACATCCTCCCCCACAGTTCTCTTCACAAGAGAAGTCTGTCGTTGGGTGATTTACAATCTACAGAGTAACCGCATTCCTGAAACATAAGTCGTAAAAAAGAAATTCTGTTTATACCATAGAGCCTTATTTTCCGTATAAAATATTTCCAAATATTCCGTTTTCTTTTTACAGTCAGAGCCTTGTTTCTATGGAAACATTTTCACTGCAATCTTGGATATATTATCTATATGACAAGGCTACAACCGTTTTCCATAGTATAAACAAAATGTCAAAACTACACATTTTGGAGACGTAGAGTTTTGGAATTTTTTATACTTGTAGATGGAATGAGGAAAACTTTTTTTAATAAAAATTATGGCTGGGTTTAGAGCCTTCTCTTGGCAGCACCTGTTAGTGTTGCGACACAGATGAAGGGATCTGTCAAGGTCAGAGCCAGGACCTAGAGTCCGGCACTGTGAGTGGCCTTCTCCCAGCCAGACTGTGCTGGTGAGCTGTGGTAGAATGACACATCATACAATCGGCTTCAGAGTCACTGGCACAAGAAAGCAGCCCCACGAAGTGCCCTGCTCTTTTCCTTTTCCAGTTGTACCCACAACAGTTCTCTCTTCACCTGCTCTTCAAGGGCCAGTTTTCAGGTCCCATTCCAGTCCCAAGTAGCCCTGGGAAATCTTCCTCTGCCCCCAGGTAACCTCTGGTTGCTAGGACAGCCTGGAGGCTCAGCTTGGGAGTTTTAGTTCCATGTGGAATTCCCAGAGGTACCCACCCTAAAGCAGCCCTAAGTGAATTCTCCGAGGTCCTTCCAGACCTGGTTATGATGGTGGGCCCTAGCCAGCCCTCCAGCAGGCATGCCCACAGTACCGTTGCCCCAATTTGTATTTTTATGTGGTAAGTCACGTTTTTTAGATATTTATTTAGTCTCTTGCTATTCCTCCCTTAGTAGTAAGGGTGACTAAGTTTAATGAATATGGGATTAGTAGCTTAGAGATGTGAGTTTTATTACTGGTTTTGACACTAAGTGACCCTAAACTATTCATTGAATCTTTTTATTGGGTAAGCATACTTAACGTATAAACTGGGCTGTTTTGAGAGCTTTTAGATTGCCCTGAAAGCACTTTGATCTCCCTGGAAGTGGGTGCTAAATAAATAAAATATATTCTTATTAGTTCTTCTATAATAGAAGAAGCAATAGAGGATTCCAGTGCTGATAAACTCTGATAATTCCCTAAACTAGGGGCTGCCCTGTAAAGAGCAACGAGATGTAAAGAGAATCCATTGCTGGCTGTACTTTTCATCTTCATATTGGAGGATTCAGTGACTTGGTAGCCACAGGAATGAAAACTGGTGACTCACGAGAACTCTGCAAATAGTGTTATTTTTCATTTCCCTGTGGTGTTGCTATTGTTCTCAGTTTTATGGATCACACAAGTTTTCACCAGACAACCTTGTTCTTCTCCCGCTGTTTTGAAACAACCCCAAATGTAGCCTCAGGGCTGTCGTCTCCCATTGGGTCAGTGTGAGCTCAGCCCAGCTCCTCAAATCCCTTGGTTCCGTTGGTCTGTCTGGAGTCCTTGTTGAAGCTTTGTTGTGGGAGAGGAAGGCAAGGAGCCCATGACTTGCCCAGACAGTCTGAGGCCTGGCCATGTAGCTTGTAGTTCCCTAGACACTCTGGAGTTGGACTTGGCCAGCCATTCCTCTGTTGTTACTTTTCAGAGGTAATAAGTGAGATTAATTGCAGGCCATTCTCCAGAAGAGAAAGTAATCAGGGCCAAATACAGTCACATGTTTAGAAGCCTGAGGTGTGCCTCTGAGCAAGGCCAATTTTGAATTATACAATAGAGCCTCCAGGATGCAGGTACCAAGTGTTCATGACCTCTTTTTTCTTAAAGGGATCGTATTTGGTTTCTAGATGTTGATACCTGGGTATTTAAGCTTTTCTTTAGCCAATGAGATAGGTAGGATTTTTTCAAGCTGCCTTTTAATTATCCATTTTCTGGGCACATCAGGAGTCGTTAGGAGCTGAGGGTTGATGTGCAGAGGGAGGCATCTCCTCATTTCTGCCAGCCTTGCATGGAATTGGACCACGTCAGGCAGAGTATTTCCTAGGTGAGGAGCGCTCAGTGGGTTCACAGTGCATCTTTCTTTATGAGACCTGGAAGGGTTACTGTAAAGTCTTGGCTGCTGCTTGGAATGATTTGGGAAGGACAGGGCCTCAGACGGCTTGGCAGGAACCTGAGGCCCTGTTTTTTTCCAGTCCAGCCCTTCCTTGTGGATCGAGCTGTCAGGGAATCCCACGAATGTCTGGCTTCTGCCCCTTTGTATGTTTTTCCAGCATTTGTCATTGAATTATTTTTATCCATCTCTGGCTTTTTCAAGTATGCAACCTGGGGATTTGTCTGTTCCTCGATGTTAAAGGTGGGGGAGGTTGAGAGCACAGCCATGAGTTTGTTCCTCTTTTTTGTGACAGGGCAAGACCTCTTGCGCATGGGCTGCTTGGCCTGGCTGGCCCCCACTCCAGAGAACATCTCTGTGTCAGAACATTGAATTCTATTCTGGGGAATTGGGGACAGTGAAGCACCAAATCTTGGAAATTTGGGCCATATTTCGTGTCACCTTGTCCCTCTGCCCACTTACTCTTCAGTAATAAATTATATAGAGTCTGGTACCCTGCTTTACATACTTTTTAGGAACAAGTTTTTCAGAGATTCTGATTCTAGTTTAGCTAATACTTTTCTCCATTCCTTTAGATTATTTCTTAGAAATGTTGCTGAAGATTCAGGTCTCTGACTTCCCATCTTTTCATTCTCAATGAGTCCTTAGAAATATTGAGTTTGTTATCTTCTTTAAAAAATATGACCTATTCATTTTCTATGAGTCAGGTATTTATGTTAGACACTGGGAAGTACTGATAAATAAAACAGGATAGTCCCTGATCTCACAGAGATTACTGTCAAGGATGTATCTTCCATGTTCTCAGTGTAGTGCTGGGTGCTGGATGCTGGGTAGGTTCTAAAAGACTTTGAAGACATGGAGTTTGATCACTGAGAAGTTAACATCTAGTGGGGAGAAGGAGCCATATACACATGGATCAATTAGAAAGTCGTGTCAGGCAGCATATAACAAAGATCTAAATTTTATGGCACAGGCAGTTAGAAGAAAGAGTGTGTAAAAGAGAAGAGTATGTAAAGATTTAATCCTGTCACATGCTACAACATGGATGAACCTGGAGGACATTATGTTAAGTGAAATAAGCCAGTCACAAAAGGACAAATGCTGTCTGATTCCACACATGTGAAGTATCTAAAGTAGTCAAAATCATAGAAACAGAAAGTAGAAAGATGGTTGCCAAGGGCTGGGAAAAGAGGGGAGGGGGAATTAATGTTTAATGCTGTAGAGTTTCAGTTTTGCAAGATGAAAAAGTTCTGGAGATCTTTTGCACAATGTGTGAATATACTTAACACTACTGAACTGTACACATAAAAATGGTTAAGATGGTAAACTTCAGGTTATGCTTTCTACCACGATAGAAAAAAGAAGAGGCGTATGTAAGGATTTAAAAGAGAGCCCCATAGGTCTGCAAAAATTATTCAGTGACCAAAATGGCAAGGTTTTCCTTCCATTTTCTGCCGTTGTGTAAGAGAATTATTCTGAATTTAGTCTTTAAAATGCTTCCATTTCTTTAAAAGCATGTTAACTTTACAGGAAAGGGGGCCTTCTACCCATGTTAGGAAGATGGCATGGTGTAGTGAAAAGAGAAGGGACTTGACGGTCAGACAGACCTGGGTTTGCCTTACTGAGTATGTGACCTTGGACAAGTTAACTTTGCTTTTCTGAGCCATAATTTCCCTATCTGCTTAAAAATGCAGATAAT